TCAAATGGGCCGTTTCTGAACAATGTAAAAGAGAAAGCACATTATGGACTGGGACAGAGCAAACAGCATTGGCACAGAGGAAAACAAACATCGTCGCCGGATTTCATTTAATACATTTTTCATTTATTTATTTGTTTGAGCCAGGTATGACAAAATTCAAAAACAATAACAAAAATAGTGATATGTACATGAAAATATTTGGGACCTGGTGCTCAAAAGGAGGAGGATGAAGCTTAAAAAACTTATGGAGTCCTACCCCAATTGTTTTACATAATCACGTGGTTCACATTTATTTATTTATTTATTTTTAATCACTTTTGGAGTGCTTACCTGTCATTTGAAAACATATACCCACATATATACAAAAACATATCCATACATACATACATACATACATACATACATACACGCATCATAGATATCTAGTATATTTACTCAATATAAATGTTTATACACATACACATAACACACATATACATACATGCAGAAACATATTTTGGTTTATGGTCGTACATACTGATAATAATGTTATCGTAGGCGCAAATGTTCAATAAACGATTTTTTGTTTTCATTTATGATCATACAAAATAAACAGTAATGGGAATGAACAATTTTAAGGATTTTTGCTTTCGTTTATGGTCGTATTAAAGCGGCAATCGAAATACGGAAACGTGCCGACGGGACTGTAAACCGAGACGAGGGGCTTTTTTACACTCACACACCTGGGATACTGTCCTGAGGAAGTCGGACTGCAGATGGCGCTGTCGTCCTGCCTCCACCGGTAGAAGACAGCGCCAAAACCTGTTTAAATCAGCTGACCGGACACGTCACAGCAACATCACGCGATCACTCTGAGAAAGACCTCTATGAGCAGTCGAAACTGTCACGTATGAAAACAAACTCTTGGTCTCAAAAAAATAACCTAATAACATAAATTGTAACTTTTAACCTCTTCCATATTACCTAAAAGAGCTCTATTATCTCTAAACTTGTTGAATTTTCTGATTACTTACTTGAGTTTAGTTCAACCTTGGCAAACTTTTTTATGACACTTCAATTTTCAGTGCAATTTTAAACCTTTTTTTTGTTTGTTTGTGTTTTGTTGTTTTTCCTTGAATCTTGTGGTAAATGTCTCAACTTTGGCGTAGATGCAGCCTGCCTTCGCCCGCCCTCCTGCTCCTAACAAGTCTAATCAATCCTGGTAATTGCCGAAACATGACAGTGTGATGACAGCACGGACTCTCTTTTCCATCTCAAACAGATCGTTAGGAGGTGCTCCACAGAACCACCTTCTAGCACACGTCATTAGCACTGATCTCAAACTCGGTCTCTTCATTAAGATTACCTTGACCTGCTTGGAGCTCATTAGGAGAAAATGCTTCCACAGTCAAACGTGCACGAGCTCGCTATAGCGCGGTAGACAAATTAATTTTCATAGGTGAAGCAGGTCCAAAAGACTAGGTAATCCTCGACACCCACTGCTCCTGTCTTAGAAACGTGAGAAACAGAACTAGTTCATTTTCAACAGTTTGCAGTGGCCCGAAGTTATTCCTCTTTCTGAATGCATAACAGAGTCCTACACGGGTTTATTTTGGAGACCCACACCCGCCCGCACACATGCAGTCCAGCACCACACCCACCTGTTAACCCGTGATTATGTCAAAGTTAAAACCGCACCCGTCCGGAACTGTTAAGATTCCACCTGTTACCCGCCCGTGCCCGTGATAAATCAGGGTCATTAGTCCGAAAGTCCAGTAGTCCAGGACTAAACCAGGACTGAACCTAGGGCGTGTCATCAGTTGATGAAAAATTTTTACACCCTGCAACCGCAGAGCCGATCGCCAGGACTACACCAGGATGGAACCAGGACTAACCCAGGTCTAAACCCGAACTAAACCAGGACTGACCTTATATTATGTCATTAATTGGATTATAAATATTTACACACCGCAACCGCAGAGCTGATCGCCACGACTGAACAAGGACTACACCAGGACCGAATCAGGACTGAACCATAACTAAGTCAGGACCGATCCAGGAGTGAACCAGGACTAAGCCTGGACTAAACCAGGTCTAACCTAGGACTAAACCAGGTCTGAATCTTAGTGGATTATAAATATTATACATGCTGCAAACTGCAGAGTCGATCACCAGGACTAAACCTGGTCTAAACCAGGACCTAAAAAGGTCTAAACCAGGATTGAACCAAGACTTAAGGACTAAACCAAGTCTAAACCAGGACTAAACCAGAAGCGGAGCCACCGAACCGATCGCCTCCGTTGATGGTTTTATGTAATAAATACACTAAAGTTTAAGCCTGGTCCATCGTTCCAGGAAAAGACCGGGAAATGGCACTTGCTTCCAGGGCGACGGAAGTCCTGTTAGGATTTTTCTCCCGTTTGTCGTTCATTTGATTCACCAGACCCCCCCATGTGTAATCACAACCTGCCCATAAAATTCCAGAACTTTAAAACCCCCCTGTTTCAGCAACTATTTGCGAGTACACGATGCGGTGCAGGACTCCGATGCATTCGTTGCATCCAAATGTTAAAAACTTTGAAAGAGTCAGAGATAAAAACAGCTAGCATCCTAACAGAGCACCAGCTTTACTTTGTGGGTTGCAGATGATAAAAAAGGTTTATTCGATGGTCTCATTTTGACCATTAGAGGTGCTTTAAAAATATCTAATAAAATCGACAATACTTCTGTGTGAACCGTAACCCGACCATCTTGTCCTTGGATGGTTGGCAGTTCGGTGCCAGCTCTAACAGATGTACCCGGCTGCTGTATCAACAGAAGAAACCTGCCTCTGTAAATGTAGACAAGACGAGACAACAAACGGGGGAGTTATATCTCAGTCCCATCTGTTTATGGGGTCAGTGTTCTATGGCATTGTAACATAAAGTGCTTTGTGAGGAGCTGTAAACAAAGTCTGAGTTCAGTTACAGTGAACAGAGCAATGTATCGTGTTGGAGACGTTCAATCTGTGTTAAATGTATAATATCTAAAAGAAAAGAAATGACAAAGTACCAGGATTAGGCGACTTGTTAAGACTATCCATTTTCCATCCATTTACTAGTTGCCCTGTTGTTTTCTGGGGATTCAGAATACAAACTTTTACAATAATTTATGAAGATGTGAGTCTGGTCACTGCTGAATCTCTGCAGGTTTAGATGGGCATGATTGACAGGTAAATGAGCCAATCAGGGACACACATGGTCTATCCGTATCAAAACACCTATAGCTGCTTACGAGGATCCTTAAAAACACCACCGATTTTTGCATTGCATCGAGTTCATTGGTGCAAAATGACGGATTACCAATGAGCTCCTTTGTTTCACATGTATCACTGAAAATGAACAAATCTGACAGCATGATCATGTTTGAAACTATACTACCCTACAAAGGTAGAACGCTGTAACATCATGTTTGGTCAAAAATGAGTTAATGTCATTTTGGGGGGTATTTGAGACCTCCTTTATCTTGTGAATAAATAATGTGATAAATACTGGCGTTTTACCCTTAGTTGGCCGTTTCTGTACTCTGCCTTTAGCCTGATTCATCAGCCGGTTTCTCTTTGTGGAAACCGTCTGACCTCGTAGCATTAGAATTTGTTCACTCGACGGTAGGCGGGTACTTTTTTTTCGCTGATCACTGCTGTTTGGTTGTGACGTATGTAATTCGCCAAATCCCGTAGGAAGAAGGGTAAAAACGTCTTTCACCTTGATAAAATTCACCAAACATTTTCTTTGTTCCGGCTTCAAATCCTCTGTTTCGGGAATCGTTGCCAACACAGAATGTCTGGCTTCATCTACATCCATCTCGACCGCTTTGTTTACTGTTGTGCTGTTCCGCAAAAGGGACCCAGACAGATGCTTGAGTTTGACGTCATGGCTTCACAGCTTTTCTTTGATTGGCCGGTGAACGGTCTACAACTTCTGGGTTTCTTGTAAATCTTCTAGAGTATTCCGAATCCTGACCTAGTCGCTGGAGAGAAATGAAATTGAGCAGAGGCCCTAGGTGGCATCAGCCCGGCTACCCTACCTTTTGTATCAGGAGCAAAAAATAAGGAGTCATGCAAAGGCAAACAGCAGTAAAAGTGTATGTTTTGTTTGCGATTTAGTTAATAAACATCTTTTATTTTAAAATCCAGCCTCTCACCTCATTCTTTTTGTTGCGGCCTTGGCACAGGGTCTTAACACATTAAATAAATATTCCTTTGCATTCAATTATACTTAATTTACCTTTAATGTGAAATTATTTTGTGTATTTATTCATACTGTACATACTCTACTGCAAAGTAACTCGTCTGTCAAACTGTTTAACTGTGTTTAAAGTGTCGCCGCACGATCCTGATCAGCACTAAACAGGAAATCCAAAGCTCTCCTATATCATTTCAAACAAACACCACGATGACTCGACCTTGGTGAGGTGTTTTTCTTATAATGGATGAAAGTCTGTGGATAATCAAGCACATAATGATAATGTCTGTTACTGCCTCCTTATTTTTGGCTCATGGCACAAAGGCAGAGCACAGGAACTGCCAAATAAGGGTCAACGGTCAATTTTGAGCTCAATATTTTTCGCATACAAATATTTCTTCATTATAGAACTAGTTGTCAAATTTTGGGAGCCCTGCCTATTATAGTTTTGTCTGGACAAAACAGAAAGTCATTTTTGTCAGTTTCACACTCTGGCACATTAAGGTCTTTTTGCCTTTGTAGGGCAGAATATATTCATGTATACAAAGATCATTCTGGATTTGTCAGGGAACCTTGTTAGCTTCTGTACTCCAGCTTCAGAAACAGCTCACACACACACACACACAGTACAAAATGAAGTCTACAAATGTTATCTTACATGAAATACACCATGGAGTAGTTCGGAGCAGATGCCAACTCTGATCTCCCTTTGAATCGGCGCGTTCCCCGTTCAGCTCGTCACGCGATAACTCCGACCTGAATCTGTGCGTGTGTGTCTCTGTGTGTGTGTGTGTGCAGATATCAGAGGCATTGAGGATTTCCTGGATCGCACATCTCAGCAGGGTATGGACGTGTCTCTGCAGAAGGTGGAGTCCAACATAAACATGATGATCACCAGTCTGTTCAGAACACTGAGGGTGGAGGAGCTGCACCGATACAGAGACACGCTCAGGAGGGCAGTGCTGTTCATGAGTCCTGCCACTGCCAAGGCCTTCATCACTGAGGTAAGAAATATTTACACCTTAACCTTTTTCTTGCTGGCTTTTACTATATATTGGACAGACACTTTGCTATGTTTTCCCTTACTGAACACGCATATTTATGAATTTCCTTTGGGATATTAAAGTATCTATCAGTTGGTTTGCCTTAGAGCTATCTTGAACTAACTTTCTGAATGCAAATGTTAAAGGAACTGTATGATTTTGATTTTAAATTCCATAAACATGACCTAACTATTCCCCCAGATATGAGGTAGACATGTTCAGATCAAATATAGCTGATTATCTAATCAGAAAGCAGAAAGAGTCTCATGTGAGTCGCTCTTTTGGGTTACCAGTGTCTACTTTTAGGTTTAAACTAGAGGTCTGCGCGGGACAGAAATTTCAGTCCCACTCCCGCCCGCAAAGAACTGTAATTTTTGTTCCCGCTCCCGCTGCCTTTGCGATATTATGTCCTGCTCCATCCCCCAAATCTCGCAAGATGGAGACGTTCGCTTTCTTAACCTCTATCAAACACGGAGAAGTGGAAAGGAATTGACTAAAGTGCGTGAGATTAGACCACATCCATAAGTTTTGAAATGTTTTTGTTAATGCCAAATAAAATATCCAGCACAAATGATGTATGAAAGGCAAACATTAATCATTTGTATATTTTACTTTACACTCATATTTAGTTTGCAGGACTGCAGTTCATCATCCCACCCTCTCAAAATGTGTCCCACGCCGCACTTTTTTGCATCGGGTCCTCAGGTGCAGTGCAGGACCCGATGTTTAACCTAAAACATCGGGTCCCAATGTGTAGTTTTAACTCTCTAAACCTCTAGTTTAAACCTAAAAGGACTAGTTTAAACCTAAAAGGACTCTGACTAGTTCTGAATACATCAAACTAAGCACTTAGCTCCTAAACCCTAATTCCGTTACCTTTGGAGATAAATCATGGGGTCAACCATAAAAATCCTAGACTGAGATTAGAAGGAGCTTCAGCAGCTTCTGGAGAATCCAACCATCTAACGGCGCTCCTCATTCTCCTCTGCTCTAGTTTAAAAGCAAATTTCAGCATGACAGTGTACGTAAATGTCCCGAGTTTTTGCACAAGAGAGACGATGCTACTGTTGAATCTGAAAAATCTGCAATAAACCTCAGGGACAGTACGGTTTGTAAAATATTAGCCACCTCCAACCTCACCATATGTGCCCATACACAGAAGAGAATTAATTATTTTCTCCAGACTCACATCAACTGCAACCTCCACTCAGTCCTCTATACTGTCCTCTGTCCCAGCAAATATTGCACCAAATCCTGTCCTTTTGTCCGTTTGCAGTGGAATGCAGAGCGTGCACTCACTTCATCATTCATCATCGTTTCTATAAATGCAAACAATCTGCTCAGGTCTCCCCTTATGTCATTATGTAGTCTACAGTTGAAGCTCTGATGACTCTAAAAGCTTTTATTTTTATTCTTAAATAAAATTGTACTGATATTTGTATTGTATAATGTCTGAGACAATGAAACTTTTAACGCTTTACAAACTCTTCGCGCTGAGATCGGATGTGTTCAGAAACCGTCAAGGAAAATGCTCTCTGGATTGTGGGATTCTCCTTACAGCTGATTAGGAAGCTTCCGAGGTTCCTATGCTAAAGGAGCTATGAAAGGAAGCATCCAGGCTCTTTTTCCTAACTCCTTCCTAACTCAGTGCACTATTCGGACAGTCCTTATCACAGCAGAAAGTGACGCACATCCGGTTTTGGCTGAAGGAGTTACGAACTAAGAAGCCAATTTGATGTAATCAGAACTAGCCTCTCTCTGATCTGTTCAGTTGTGATTGTAGAAGATCTTTTAAAACTCTGTGCAGGCTACAGTTCCTTTAAATCAGATATCCACCAGAGTTTTATCTTGATTTGAGTAGTTTAAAGTAGCTCAGATTTATTTGAGTATTACACTTTTTTTTTTGTCTTTTTGTTGTTGTTTTTTTTTCAAAGCAAAATTATCTGCCAAGGACTTTTCTGAATTCAAGTAGCAAGTCAACTCTTGAGATATGAAAACAGTTTGCAGATAAAGAGGGAAAATAAATACACAGATCAAAATTTGGTTTTAGATTCATGATTTTAAGACCTTGTATGTTTGAGTTATGCTGATGGCTATTGGTTTTCATGCATTCACTTAAAGAGACTATTTTACTCTATTTTCTAATCCATATTATAATTAGTTTCTTCATCAAAAACACACCCAGCCTTGTCTTTTGTTTCATTCATGTTGGGATGGGACAAGATCTCGTACCACAAGATCTTGCAAGGCCAGTTTACCCCAAGATTGTGTGCACATGAGGAAAATTATCTTGTGAGATTTGTTTTCCCACATGTGTTTAGATTTGGATTGGACAAAAATAAATAAATAAAAAATAAATAAATAAATAATAATAATAATAATAATAATAATAATAATAAATAACACGGGAGGAGCTCGGAGTAGAGCCGCTGCTCCTCCACGTCGAGAGGAGCCAGTTGAGGTGGCTCGGGCATCTGTTCCGGATGCCTCCTGGGCGCCTCCCTCGGGAGGTGTTCCGGGCATGTCCCACCGGGAGGAGGCCCCGGGGAAGACCCAGGACACGCTGGAGGGACTATGTCTCTCGGCTGGCCTGGGAACGCCTCGGGGTCCCCCAGAGGAGCTGGAGGACGTGTCTGGGGTGAAGGAAGTCTGGGAGTCCCTGCTTAGGCTGCTGCCCCCGTGACCCGGCCCCGGATAAGCGGACGAAAATGGATGGATGGATGGATAATAAATAAATTAAATTAAATTAAATTAACAAAACACTGGTGAGTTAACATTTTGAGAAGCCGTAGTTCCAAAAAACACTGAAAAAAGACAGCAGAAGTACTCAATAAATAAAATATATAAAAATGTAAAGCCCAAAACTGTGAACTGAACGCCACAATTTTTTAAAAATTATTATAATTTATATCAAAATCTCACCTTGTCTCTATCTCATGGACCTTATCTTGTAACTAGTCTTGTCTTGTGAGAATTCTGTTTCATCCAACCCTGAGTGTCCAAGACTTTTTCAACTCCATACGCGTTCACGATGACTTCAGACCTGGAATTTTCTATCTCAGTTAAACAAAAGTTGTAGCTGTTGACTTGAAAACTACCGCTTCATGACATCACAAGGTGGAACGGTGCTTTTCTGCTTTGGAGATGTAGTTCGTGTGACATATGGATTCTCAAAATGTTAACTCACCAGCATTTAATTATTTTTTTCTCCAATCCAAATGTAAACAAATTTTTACAAATTAAACAAAACACAACTAAAGATACACTGTTAAGGGTCCTTCAAGTGCTTTTCTCCATAGAGATGTTATTGCTTTGTCTGGAATGTTTCACAGTATGGCATTAAACCTTTCTATCTTCATGGAGACCAAACCAGGCCAAGTTACAGGTCAGATCTGTGGAGAGCCAACTCGTCCACAGTCAGAATGCCAGTTTTTCTTGGTATTTTTGAGCTATAAAACCACCTTTAATTGAATAAATGTAAAGTAGAGCTGTTTAATGTCATACACCTTTAAATCCATATTGAGTTAAATATATTACATGTAAGGAATTGAAATAAAGTGTGAATGGAGGATACAAAAACTACTACAACTTCCCAACACATGGCTAATTAGTCCTCGTACACAACTGAAAGTCCAATAAAAGACGTGAGCGGGCGTCCCCCTCCTCACATGTTCTCAGGTATAGTGGATGAAAGCGCCGGTCCCAGTCTTACTTATAAATGCATAAATCCAGGCGTTCGCACGAGCCTTAATCCCACATGCCATGTTCTCTTCGTGCTTTAATTAAAAGTGACCCCGGTACCAGTGATCTGCATCTCATCTGCTGGAAATCACAGTGACACGCAGCAGACTGAAGGAGGCGCTGTGCTTGTCATTCCGGGCATGTCCTGTTCAAGGTCGTACGTGGCCTTTGATATTTGGAAATACTCAAGGCATAAAGAACTGCAATCAGAACATACGCCATACAATAACTCACCTTTATGTAATATAATACTCCCTACAACTGTACAAGAACTTATCCTTATGTAATATAATACTCCCTACAACTGTACAACTCACCCTTATGTAATATAATACTCCCTACAACTACACAATAACTCATTCTTATGTAATATAATACTCCCTACAACTGTACAACAACTCATCCTTATGTAATTTAATACTCCCTACAACGGTACAACAGTTCACTCTTATGTCATAGATAATACTCCCTACACAACAAGTTACCCTAGTGTAATATAATACTCCCTACAACTGTACAACAACTCACCCTTGTGTGGTATAATACTCCCTACAACTGTACAACAACTTACCTTTATGTAATAAATATTCCCTACAATTGTACAACAACTTAGATACTTTTTGTTTTACTTTACTACATTTGAGAGCAGGTATCTGTACTTTCTACTCCACTACATTTTTTAATAGGACTGAAAAGTAAAAGTATTAAAATAAACTTCCAATGCCCTTTCAAAATAATTTAACCAAAGTCAAGACAGCGATGTAAACAACGTGCACGTGATTTACGATGTCAGACACCAATTCTACAAGGACTCAGGACTAACCCAGAACTAAACCAGAACCAGGACTCACTGTCTGAATGTGCTCGGAGGTCCTTCCGTGTAGACCCGAGTGTCCGTCGGGCGAAAGAACCGGTGCAGAGCTCGGAGAAGAGGTACGTGCAGCCGTTGCGCTTTTCGGACACCTGCTCCGCGGGGCTCAGGGTTCGGTATCTCTCTCTCTCTCCCAGATTAGACCTGGTTTAGACCTGATTTAATCCGGGTTTAGTCATGGTTTAGACCTGGTTTAGACCTGATTTAGACCTGAATTAGTCCTGACCCACCCTTAAAATTCCAGAACGTTAAAACTCGCCCGTTTCAGCGTCTATTTTCCCTTATCCATCGGTGCAGGACTCTGTATCAAGATATAAAAGTATAGGCCTTATTACCTGGACGGACATAA